TCTGGCTTTCAATAAATTCATTGGTCAATTGTCAAGTATTAACAAAAATAAATGACTGGTCATGATGTTTCTGGCTTTCAATAAATTCATTGGTCAATTGTCAAGTATTAACAAAAATAAATGACTGGTCATGATGTTTCTGGCTTTCAATAAATTCATTGGTCAATTGTCAAGTATTAACAAAAATAAATGACTGGTCATGATGTTTCTGGCTTTCAATAAATTCATTGGTCAATTGTCAAGTATTAACAAAAATAAATGACTGGTCATGATGTTTCTGGCTTCCAATAAATTCATTGGTCAGTTGTCAAGTATGAACAAAAATAAATGACTGGTCATGATGTTTCTGACTTCCAATAAATTCATTGGTCAGTTGTCAAGTATGAATGGAAATAAATGACCGGTCATGATATTTCTGACTTCCAATAAATTCATTGGTCAGTTGTCAAATATGAATGAAAATAAATGACCAGTCATGATGTTTCTGATTTCTAACAAATTCATTGGTTGGTTGTCAAGTATGAACGGAAATAAATGACTGGTCATGATGTTTCTGACTTCCAATAAATTCATTGGTCGGTTGTCAAATATGAACGAGAATAAATGACTGGTCATGATGTTTCTGTCTTCCAATAAATTCATTGGTTGGTTGTCAAATATGAACGAGAATAAATGACCAGTCATGATGTTTCTGACTTCCAATAAATTCATTGGTTGGTTGTCAAATATGAACGGAAATAAATGACCGGTCATGATGTTTCTATAAATGGATGAAATTTATTAGATGGAAATAAATGACTGATCAGATTTTTAATAAATGGAAAAAGTTTATGTGGGGTTCAGAAAACTTGGCTATATCTAAATGCAGATTTCTATATATTGATATGTTAATTTATATTGGTTTATTGGGTGGAATTAAATATTATAAAAACGGGAAATTAAATTTCCTGTCCTGATGGTTAATGGTGATGGAATTTTGTAGGTTGATCCTTAGTATTTGAGACACAAAAATCAAGGATATATCCTATTGCAGATCCTTGGATTGGGTGAAACTATTATGCGCCACTGGAAAGCCATCCAAAGTCACGGGATTTTCATTGGAATCGGACTTTGAAACATTCTGTTGTATTGGAATGGGTGAAATTCTGATTGGCTAATTTGAATTTCACACATGTAAATTTTGAATTTCACATACATATCTAAACTCGATAGGTCGACGCAGCAATCAATTGTTTAAAGTACTTTATAATATAAATAAAATACGTATGTACAGGATACATCAACTAGAGTGATCAACTAGAGTGATCAATTAGAAACATATTTGTATATTCGCATGCAATTATTTTTCAGCTTTAGAAAATTAAAAAACCAAATACGATCTAAAGCATAGATAAATTGGTAAGTAAATAAATCTTGTGAGTTGGCAGGGAAAATAGTATTCTCATATAAATTGCAAGTGGATGCGTCCACCAATTAAATTGTATTCCTAATCATAATTTAATTAAAGATAGAATTAAACGGTCTTGGAGACCTGTTTGTTGTCATATAACAAATTCTCAATCGACAAATATCAGCTAATCTTCTGATTGAATATCTTTAAATTATGTAATATCAGTAATATCATCATAGAAACTATAGAGCTAACTGGTGTGATCACGTGATATTATTACCACAAGTAACGCGTTGTTGGTGATCCAGTGTGGCACTAACCAAAGTCACTGTTAGACCCTTATCAGTAAAGGTTGGAATCGACTAAACTTTTTTTTGAACAACTAATAGTCGACTACTAATACTACTAGTACTAATATTTATGCTAATATTAATATTATGCTAATATTATTATTGTCTGACCAATTACGATTTTTGTGTTTATCATTCAAAATGGAAAATTTCTATACGGAAGAGTATCAATACAATCAATATGATGATGACGACAATGGTGGTGTTGTTGATGATAATTTTACATATGAACTAATAAACACTTCCGATACAAGGTCCAATAGTTCGTTGGCTTCAAGTTCCAATGATTTAAACGGTGGTTCCAGAAGACCTTTAAAAAACGAATCGTAACACATGGTTTTGTGTGGAAGTATTTTGAAAAAGTGAAAGATTCAAATGGAAATGAATTCGTAATTTGCAAATTAAAAAAAAAAATGAAATATTATTATCTATTATTAAAAAAAAAGTTAGTCGAATAAAGAAATTTTGACTAATTAGTAGTCGACTAAGAATTCCAACCTTTACTTATCATAGGTATGCATTTTGTTGATTTGATTTATTTACTCCGCTATCCGTCCTTAGTAGATATGAACCGCGTGTTTGCAGTATTTAAAGTTAGTTTGCACAAGTACATGCATTGTTTGGAATGTGCAGATATAATCAAAATATTCCTGCACACATTTGCATTAAAGATTTTAAATAAAGCTTAAATATGCACAGGATGCGCATGGAAATTTGAACATACAGCAGTACAATTCGTTGTTCTGTTCTTTTTTTTTTATAAAAAAGAATTGTTCGTTTTTTATCCTAATATTTCAAAACTCGCATGTATATTTTTAAATATTTCCTTTTCTAATTCTGTAGTTGAAGGTATTGTTTCACAACAAAATTTAATCAAAACTAGAATTAGAAATCGTATCCAACCTTCTACTTTGCAAATATTACTTGTGATTGCAATTAATGGGCCAGATAGTGAGGTTTTTGATTAGGAAAAAGGCTTGTCGATTTTGTGTGTTTACCATTTAAAATAAAAATCTATATGCACAATATGCATCTATCTTTGGTTTATTTATATATATTCGTGGTGTGAATTTAACATACATCGATATAAATGTAACTTTTTTCGTTTAATTTTTCTTTGCTAATCTTGAATTTTCGACCAGTTCCAAAAATTTTTTTGAATTTCTTATTACAAAACTTAATTATATTTTCCGCCATAACCAAAATATTAGGTTTCTGAAAAAAAAAAAAAGCTGGAAAGTTAGAATGATACTACCATGATAATAGCCCAAGTCGCTGGTAAAAAGAATTATTGATTGAATTGAATTCATTACCATTTTATAAGCTAATACTTCAAACATTAAAGCCGTTTGAATTTGCGTGAGTGCCTTCTCGTTTTGTGTTATTTTATATAAATACTATATTCAGAATAATGGAAATAATGTTAACACCACCACATAATAAAAAACTAAGAATTAATATACAAATTTCAGATATATATAAACTTACCATTTTGCATAAAATAAAGTTTAGCAAAGGATTGTTGTTTTGAATTGTCTTGTCGTTGCTAATAATGTTATTCTTAATTTTTTGAAATTTCTTATAAGATTCAGGAGCTTTTTTTTTCAGTTTTTGTACATATATAGAGATATCTTCTACATGTTTCACCAAATTTTGAGATTCAGGCTTGAGGTTCGATGTTTTCACCGCATTCTCTATAACTACTCGCATAACAACAGTTATCGGACCTACTATTGCTTTAGTTACAATCATTTTTATATTTTGGGATTGATTTTGTTGTGGGTTGTTTATTTGAAAATTTTTTAAAAATGTAATATTTTCGTTTTTCGATGATATATATAATGAGAAGAATTTTCCATGATACTTTTATAAAAAAAGTTGGTTACACGATTCGGAATTCAATCTCAAATTAGTAGAGGAAATAGTAGTAATAGTAGTGTTGTTTGTTTTAGTGGTCATTAATTACATTTATTGTATAACTCTAGTCAATAATAAACTTGAATCGTCTATATTAGGCTGAAGGATGAGTTTTTAATTTTAGTAAAAACATAATTTGCATTTCTATATTAGAAAAAGGTTCCATTGTTGTTCAAATAATTTTTTTTATCATTTTAATAATTAAAGTAATAAATGCAAAGCAACGGCATGGTGAATTTTGTTTCAAAAGGAAGCTTCCTTTTATAATTCTTTAGAAAAGGTGCATATTATTATTAAAATAAATTTTAATGATGGGTTGTGTATTAATTGAAATACCAGAAGCATTGTAGAGGTAATAATAAAGATGGAATATAGTACAAGGTAAAATAATATATAAATGTTTTGAGATATTATTATGCGTTATACAAAAAAACTTGATAAATTGTTCATGGACACAGTGTTTCAATGTTTTATTTCTTTGTTGTTATTAACAATTTTATTGATAAATCCGGTATTCTTGTCACACGAAAGTCTTGGGATTGGTATAAAGACTCCGGATTTCTACCTTTTATGAAAATGAAAAAAAAATGCGCGGTGCAGCAAATTTTATAAAGAGGATGATTTTTATTCCACAATAAATTTTACTTGCATCAGTGTTGTGACCCGAAACTCTGAGTTTAGGAAAAGCCAGAAACAGAAACTAACAGAAACCATCCGAAACTAGTTTAGATTAGTAGTTTATGTTTATGTTTAGTTTTAGTTTTAGCTTTCTGCTTAGTGTAAGTTCATTTTCCGAAACGTTTCGGGAAGCCAAAAGAGTTTCTGGTCACAACACTGACTTGCATACATGTTTAAATCATAATTATAATAAGGATTGGTATTAATTAATTGTATAGCAAAAAACATCCGCAACAGCTATTTTATTATTATGAACTTTTTCTTAAAAAAACGCTTATGTAAAAATTATAGAAATTTTCTGCTGACAAAGTGATTCAAGATCAAGCTCATCGGCTGTAATTAATATTTTCAATATATCAATTCCGGTAAGTTTGTCTAATTCAATTTTACATGCATACAAAAATCTTTTAAAGATAATAATTATTGATAAGTAATATATATTCAAAAATAAATAATAATGCAATAATAGTTTAGTTTAACTTACTTGAGAATATTTTTGATATTTATGTTTTTAAAAATAAAATATAATAACCATTTTCTTTTTGTTGCAGTTATGATGGATGCATGAAAATCTTTTATGTTTGGTTCGATGCTTGCATATATTTTTTTACATTTCATTCTTAATATTGTTGAGTCCATTTGATTTTTCAAAAAAAAAATTTTGAGTTGTAAAATGGAACAATCAAATGCTATGCCACAGAAAATAAATCATTCATATTATTATTATTATGTGCGAATATTTAATACTTACTATTACATGGTAGCTTTCGACGGGATTGTTTTTTACATAATGAAAACGAATATAAAAATAATCTTTATCAAGTAAAATTATATAAATAATCGTTTGTAGAACTCCAAACGAGTCAAATCAAGTCAGTATCCAAGTCACACATTTACAAAAACTTATTAACTTTATTATTTATTATTAATACATTTTATCCTTTATCCAGTTTTTATAGACATACAAGCATGAATTGTATCCTTTTTTAAAATAACATGTCTTTTAGTTATCAAAACAGCACCCTCTGAAAGATTCTTTCAACTGGCATATGTATATAAATAAAATTCTTATTTGTTATTGCGATAGTCACATGCTGTCTTGAAAGATTTGGGAATGTTACTTCATGTATCTATGATAACCATAAGTTGTTATTGTTGGCGAAAAAAATTATTGGATATTTTATTGTTGTTGTTGTTGCTGTCTTACCTTCCACCATTGTAATGGATCAGTTTTAAAGTTTACAATTGGTTTACCGAGATATTCCATCAATTCATCCTCATTTTGAGAATTAGTTATTAAATCCAAATGAGAACGAAAAGAAATCATTGGTGTTGGTAGTAGCGTTGGTGATGTAGCAGTATTGCAATAATATATATCTCTAGTTGTGATAAATTTATATGTCCTCTTTTCCATTTTTGAATTTCGTAATATGATGGTTATAAATGAGGATCCAAGACTAAATAAATAAGTAATGGATGGATAGATGAATAGATAAAAAAATTTAACATATTTACATAATTATTTAAATTATATACTGTATATTACTTGTAGCAATTGGATTCATCTGTTTTGGCGTAATATATTTTGAGTTTGTTACATCCACTTCTGGAAGCATTTATTAATTGTGATTATTGTTAGATTATTTCCAAGATGCTCCATCAAATTATTATATATTGGTACAGATGAAGAAAGGTGTTCTTGACTTTATTAAAGATCTGAATATTTGATAAATTGATTAATTATTGATTAATCAATAAATAATAAATTAATAATTAAAAAAGACCTACTTCAAGTACCGACTAATTTTTAACCATTCATCCGTAAAATGAAAAAATCACATAAATCATCTTCAGTTAAAACCAACTCATTCACAGGCATGTTTATGCATATATTTTTATTTAAAATAAAAAAAATCAAATAGAATTCACATACAGATTTTAGTTCTAACGCATGTTGTTGCATCTGAAAAGTGGAGTTCCGATGTGCCTTCACGTCTAAAATAAGATTTAATTTTTTTTAGACGCACAATTCTATAAAAAGGAAAAGGGTATTATGGAAGTTAATTATTTAATCTGCTAAAAGCGTAGTCAAAAAAAAAATAAACATGGAAAACGAGCAAGAAATGATGACCTGAAAAGAGCAAGGTATTTTTCTCGACTTTGTGGGGATGATCTGATCTTTACAATTTATCTTCCTTAGCTATGAATGAGAAACGATTAATATTATTTATTATAAATTTTATTAGATTAATAATACGCAATAAAAAATTTAAGCTTACTTTGGTATTACTTCGTTAGCATCAAAGTCATCCATCATTGTTATTAAAATCATCATTAATGTTACCGCTGCCATAAGCATAATTTCGTCACCGTTGTCTCCATTGTCATCAACACCACCACCATCGACACCACCATCATTACCGTTGTTGCCATCCAAAAATTCATTTTCACCTGGATAGAGGACAGGACTTCTTTTGTACAGTAAGATTTATCACATGTGCAATGCAAGCATACATGATTTTTCTTATGATGGAAGTTTATACAATCTTCATTACAGTATTTTTGTATTTGAAAAATGTCTCATTATTGGCGGAATTATTCCAAGGTTTACTTGCTTTACTTGCTTTAGAGGATCATGTTCATTTCTCGAGTAATTTTTACCGCAACCCAAATTGTTTTGCCAAAACACGTGTAACATTGAATTATGGCACGTGTAACAATTACGACTGTCTAAATATATCTATTCGAGTTTATAGTTGGGAGTAAAAATGATTATGGCAATAATTACATATTCTTTAAATGAATGAACATAATATATGCCATTTGGCCTAAATAGTTCAAATAACTACGGAGATAATTTTGGCAACTAATTATGGCATTGCATTAAAGATGCAGTACAGTCAATTATAGCGAAACAACTATAGAAACCAAATACAATGCAAAACAACTGAAACATAAATAATTGGTTAAAATGCAAGTAAATAAATTTTATGGGTTGGCAGGGAAATTAATACTTTCCCTTTTCTTCTATCTTATATAAATTGCAGGTTAATGCATCCACTAATTAAATTTTTTTTTCTTGATCAATCACCCACAGCTTACAAATAAAAATAAATCTAATTACTGAAAATGAAGATAATTAATTGAACATAGAAATCAATGGTCTCAGACACCTGTCTGTTGTCATTTAACAAATTCCTAATTGACAAATATATCAAAAATATCCTGATTTAATATCTTTAAATTATGTAATATTGCCAAAGATGCATCATGGGATTCTAGGGCTAACTGGTGCGAGAAGAAAAAAAATTTTTTTTTAATCCATATTTATTATTATTATTATTATGCAAGTGTTGGCGACGCGTTGTCGGTAATGCAGCATGGCACTAATCAATATTAACAAGTGGGTGAAGTTTTTGAAAATCACTATTAGACCCTCATCCTATCCCTATCAGAGGTATACACACCTAGACAAAAGTTTTCAGACACCTGTTTTTACCGATTGCGCAAAACTACACATAATAACTATACATGGAATTTTATCAAAATGTAGCTTAGGTTTTAATGAATATATATGTAAATTTTGGTATTCTTAAAATTAGAAAAATTCTAATTAAAAAAATCCGAAACTCGACGATGATGATCAACAAAATATTTATTTGTATTAATATCAAGTTGGCTACCCATCACTAGAAATGCATGCCTCAATTCTTCTAGATATGCTTTCTATTAATTTGTAGTAAGTTTTGTGTGGAGTTCTTGACCACACTTCTTGTAAAGCAAGCTTCCAATTCGTCGGCATTTTTTGGGTATTGTGTTCGCTTATCTAATCGCCTCCCTAATTCACTCCAAAGATGTTCGATTGGATTAAGATTGTGAAGACCAATTAGGTGCTTTCATGAAGGCTCAAAATTTTTCCTCTTCGTTTTTAAAATTTTTAATTTTTTTATAAATACGATTTTATTTACTAATTTTTTTAATTTTATTATAAATTATTTATGCTAGCCAGAAATCACAAAATTTTGCATTCATATTCTAGATAATCTAAGCTTACAAGTTGACATAAATTTTTATTTTTATTATTATATAGAATTTTGGGTAAATTCGAGAAACAAAAAATGACATCGGCAATTTTCGTTGAATTTTGGATTCTTTTGATTAAAATATTTCTAGACGTTCTAAGAATATCAAAATTTACATGCATATTCATCAAAACCTAGGCCATCAATGATATATTAATTTTATATATAATTATTATGTGTAGTTTTACGCAATCAGTAAAAATAGGTCTCCGAAAACTTTTGTTATTTTGTTGATTTTACTTTTTGAGTAATAAATATGAATTGTACGTTTGTTTGCAACGAATTAATTATTGCGAGTTGATATTAATACCATTTATTTGTAAAATTGATTTATGAATTTAACATAAATCAATAAAAATGAACTTTTTTCGTTTGATTTTCTTCGTAATGTTGAGTTTCGATCAGTTCCAAAAATTCAAATTCTAATTATATTTTCCGCCATAACCAAAATACTAGATTTCTGAGAAAAAAAAAACTGGAAAGCTAGAATGATACTTCTGTAGTAATATCCCAGTCGCTGGCAAAAAGAATCATTGATTGAATTGAATTCATGATTTAATGCTTCTAATACTAAAGTCGTTTGAGCTTGCATGAGTGCCTTCTCGTTTTGTGCTATTTCATATAAATACTAGATTCAGAATAAAGGAAATGATGTAACGTCATGTTGTACGTGAAAATGAAATTATGTGAATTCGCAATTCACATATGTGGAATTCAAATTTACATATTAACTAGAGTGACGACGAGTGACGATAGCCACCACCATCCTTACGATAAACACTTACCTGGTGACATCTTCCCAGGAATTTTCTTTTTATTTTCTTTTTTTCTTGCTTACGGCAGCAGACATTTTTTTTTTATTAAATTTTTAATATTAAAGAAATTTATTTATTATTGGCACTTGGTGTTGCACAGATTTTTTTTTTCTTGACGCGTTGATTTTTTTTTCTTGGAAACAATTTAGATGACCAAACACATGAGTGTTGTTAATTGGTTCTGAAGAAGTGTTAATAACTAACCAGAGGTACTATTTTTTATTTGTATTGATTATTTTATAAATATTTTAATTAGAATCTATAAAATCTTTATCAACAACGAATGATTGGTATTTTGCTTTTTGTAATTGTTAATAATATTAATATTACTATAATTTAACTACAAGATGTCAAGGCAACACACTGTTGAAAAAGAAACATTTCGATATGTGACGTTTGTGTATCGGAAATTGGCAGGTGTTGAGCATGCATGCTACCTTGAACGCTTTACAGTCATTCTCACATCTTCCTCGTGTACATAAGGCTAAACTGACTGGTGTGCTGCATCATTGTCAAGATATTTTCACTAATCTCACCCAGACCAGAGAAGGCTGCCGACGTGTTAGATAAAAAATTTCCTGCCTGCAACAATCCTGCCTCTAGGGTAAAAACAACAACCCAGGTTGCAACTTCCGAGTTACAGAATTTTCAAGCCAGTCTTAACACCAACTTTATTCTCACACAAATGTCAACTCTCATCAGCAATCAATGTTCCATATGGCAACAGCCAAACCTGGTCTGAGTGGGAGATAAGGGAAATTTTGCCCAAAGCCTTCCAGCATTGGGGGCTTTACCTGTGGAAAAAGATCCATAGTTATGAGGTGTGCGTAAGCACTCAACCAATGTTTGTGATAGGAGATTTAATTAAATCTGACACCTGTGATCAATATCAGATTTATTATTCATAAGGAACTACAATTGATAATAATTTATTA